TGATGGTGGGGTTGTCATACTAGGGGCCAAACTGCTCATCAGGATCTAATCTAATGCTCATTCAGGCACTCTCACACACTGATGGTTGTGGAATTGGGAGCACATTGAGGTTCAGTATCTTGCCCAAGGACATTTGACATGTGGACATTTAACTTCCTAAATTAAAATAATGAAATGGATGTTGTAGTTTTGAAGATGTACCTTTATGGTTATGGTGAAAGGGGAAAATAAACTGAGAAGATTTTTGATTGATGCAGACCCCAAAGGTGCCTTATGTATAATTAATGAGATAAAATATAATTGTTCAGAAAATTGGCAGCAGTAGAAGGTCAAAAAAGAAGGTCAGGTGATCCAAGGTCAAAAAGAATATTTCAATCTCAATCTCCACTCTTCTAAGTGGACATGGATAAGAAGTCCTTTAAGTGCAAAAAAATACTAGAATTATCGCCTCAAGGTTTTTAATGCCTTTACCAACCAGTCAAGTTGGAGTTTACATTCATTACTTTCCAAAATGTTATCACATCATTTTGTTATCCTATTCTGTGAAATTATAATTAGCATATGAATTATTGAGTTATGGCCAGTTTATCTGTCCAAGTGGACCATTGCACCAAATATGAGGAAATTCCCTTCAGGCTTTCCCTCAGGTTGTTTTTATTTCACGACTCCTGGGCCTTCTTCAATACTAGGAAGAATTTGTGATGAGATTGATCCAAAATCCATTAACAGTTATTAATCCAGCAATAATATTTATAAAATATTTTACATTTTAATACAGATTTCAATGTGATGCCTCAATTCTACTGTTTTGTCCAACCAACAGTCCACACTCATTTTCTATGAAATGATTTAAATCAGAGAAAAGCCTCACATTTGACAACCTGGGGCTGGAGAAGTAGTTTATAGGGAGAACATACATTTTGCATATTGAGTCCTTTTACCATTGATACAAATTACCTGTAAATACTTTTGTTTTCAAATGGCTGGACTTTAACTTGAAGTGGAGTAATAGTACATTTTAACACAAATCTAACTACTATTTGCTCTTGTATGATTTCTAAAAAAACTGCAAAAAAGTGATTTCTAGAGTAATTTTTGCAGCTATAACACTGCACAAATGTAGCGCTCCAGCTAAAAGCACATACATCTCAGTTGTTATTGGATGTGAAATTGATATATATATAGTGCTGTGTTTACACCTAAGAAGTGAGAAATTGGTTTGTACTCTAAGGCTGTTTTGAGGGGGATGCAAGTGGCTTTCTGTCGCTGAAAGCAGCAAGTATGCAGGGTGATTCTTAGGTCAAGGTGATTTGTCATGTCAAGCAACTTTTCACCTTCAGTTCTATGGTGGTGCACTATCCTGACAGCCTTCAACAACACCACAGCGTTTCCTGGCTCCACTTCATAATTGATGAGGAAGCAAGGAATATTGGATTTGATCCAGAGTGAGGTTGCATTTTAAAGCCGAGGACAGATGTATAGAGGTGCTAATTTTAAATCTTTATCGGAAATGGCTGAAATGCCACTGAGGGACAGTGGACGGCAAGCTCAGTGGCAAGACAATAACAAACCAATTTGATATGATTGACTCTTCAGTGATGATATACCGCAGCAGTGTTCGGCGGGAAGGATATGGCACTCTACTATTACGTAAATTCCAACAATGATCCAGAATTTTGTGAGGACAGTGGGTGGCAGGAGGCTGATAGTATATCAAGCTGATGGTTCAATTTTAGACACAATCAAAGTTGGAAATGGCTAAATGTCTGGTCTAGGGACGAGAGAAAAACTAAATTAAGTATTTGAATGTACGTGTTCATGTCCTTGTGCGTTAAATTGCGCTAACATAATTCCATTTAAATTCATGTATTGTTGACACATACAATAATTTCTACAGTTTCAACATTAAATTCAACACTTTACTTCGGGTGTAGTAAGTTATTATTTTAAAGGATAATTTTGGAAAGAGTCTCAAAAGTACAAGTTACAGAAATTGTTGACGGAAAAAGTGTTAATATTCTCTGTATTGTTGGTTGAACTGCTGATCAAATAATTAGCAAATATTTAGTTGAAGTATATAATCATGTAAATAAAATAACATTGGGTTTTAGACTATTGCTCTGATCAAACAAGACATTTTTTAAAACATTACCATAGTACGGTGGCCCTGAAGTGCAAGACACCGCAGCATTTCACAAAACACAACAGCATTTCAGAAAAACAACAGCATTTCACAAAACACTACAGCATTTCAGAAAACGCCGCAGCATTTCAGAAAACACCACAGCATTTCACATTGGACGGAAAGGGTATTCCTTTAGAGAGAACCCTTCTTGTTTATGATTGGACAGAGCCAGCCAGAGAAGCACTGCTGTGATTGGTTGTTTTTGCTGCCAGTGAAGAAATGACGCTTCGTGATTGGTCAACGTCCGACAGCGCAATATGTCCCAACCGGTCCCTCCCAATACATCAGCCGTTAGCACACACTAGAGCTCACAGCTCCTCATATCTGTTCAGAAACTGGACAAAAGTTAAACATGTACAAACCACAGACTGTCTATGTCATGGCGAATACAGTCGCTGCTTTATTTATGTCTGTATCACGTTGTTGTGAGTGTGGACGGAGCAGCTACAGGATAGTTTAGCCTGATGGATCCGATTCCATTCAGAAAACACGCATTTTAAAAGCTTTTCGCCTGCCGTCTAGTCTGCAGACTTGTCAAAGCGTTAATTCATGGTTTTTACTAACCGTTATCAGTATGTAGTTACTTCGGCATCACTTTGAAACGTGTATTACAATTAAATCACGGTCAAATATGTTCATGTTGTTGTAGTTGGTATCTCCCATAGAATTGACATGGATATACGCCCCGCCCCCTCTCCAGCGCCTCTTGTTTGAATGACAGGAGCAAACACAGCTGACAGCCGCGGTGAAACTCGAGCGATTAGAGCGATGCGAATATTGGGTAGTCTACCATAGTATTTACATGGAGATAAGCCCCTTAAAAACCATGAATTAATAAAGCATTAATTCTGTGTTTACTCCTGTCATTCAAAAAAGACGCTGGAGAGGGGGCGGGGCGTATCTCCATGTAAATCCTATCGGAATCGGATCGATCAGGCTAAACTAACCTGTAGCTGCTCCGTCCACACTCACAACAACATCATACAGACATAAATAAAGCAGCGACTGTAATCGCCATGACATAGACAGTCTGTGTTTTGTATATGTTTAACTTTTGTCCAGTTTCTGAACAGATATGAGGAGCTGTGAGCTCTGAGTGTGTGCTAACAGCTAACGGCTGATGTGTTGGGCCAATCACGAAGCGTCATTTCTTGATTGGCAGCAAAAACAACCAATCACAGCAGTGTTTCCTGGCTGGTTCTGTCCAATCACAAACAATAAGTGTTCTCCCTAAGGAATACCCTTTCCGTCCAATGTGAAATGCTGTGGTGTTTTGTGAAATGCTGCGGTGTTTTGTGAAATGCTGTGGTGTTTTGTGAAATGCTGTGGCGTTTTGTGAAATGCTGTAGTGTTTTGTGAAATGCTGTGGCGTTTTGTGAAATGCTGTAGTGTTTTCTGAAATGCTGTTGTGTTTTGTGAAATGCTGTGGCGTTTTGTGAAATGCTGTGGCGTTTTGTGAAATGCTGTAGTGTTTTCTGAAATGCTGTTGTGTTTTCTGAAATGCTGTGGTGTCTTGCACTTCAGGGCCACCGTACCATAGAGTCTGAGAAACTGAGATAAGGAATCTCACATTTCATAGGATATCAATTGGTCTCCTGCAATCAATATAATCACCAATTGAATGAATAATGACAAATCATTGTTGATATACAGTAAACTATATTTTGAATATACATATATTTGTGTTCATATATCAAAGTTATGATATCATAACTTAAAAATCCATCCCTTATTTTTGCTTAGTGTCACAGGAAACCCACTCTGTATAAAACATTCATGCTGTATATATTTGTGATGATGACATTTGGCCATAAATAAGTCTGCCTACCAGTTTTATCATGTTTGCCAGTTCTTGCATCTATTTCATAAAGCTGAGCAATGCATTGCACCACCAAAAGTAAACAGCTTTGGTTATATCATTTTTACAGTTTAGACGTAGATGAAAAACTGTTGCGTAATTTACTGTGTTTAACATGGAATTAGAAAACATATCCGCTAAGCCTTGGAAAACACATTTCTAATCTGCAGTGTTTGATAATGCTCTAAAAACATATTTTTTCAGAATCAAATCAACCAATTTCTCAAAACAAACTATGAGCAACAGGAAAGAAAAAACATTTTATATTGCCTTATTTATTTGTTACCATTAAAAATTTCACTAGTTTTCCTAAAAATGAATGTCCAAAAACACATTGAGAATAGCAAATAGAAAAACAGCAAACAAAACCGCATCACCAATCTCGGGGGATATATGCTTTAATCTTCACTCTTTTGCAAAGCTTTACTCTCTGCGGTTGCTTCTTCTGAAATGAGACTACTAGCACACTGTGTACTGTGAAAAACAATCTGGTACTGGAACTCATAACCAGAGATCAAGTGCATCTTAAAAAAAATCCTCATATGGAATCAACATATTGTTTATAATTCTGGGCTTTTATTAAATCATTCAGATGCAACTAATCCAATCCAGGAAAAGTCCAGTGAAGAGGTTTCAAACAATGAAAGTATGAATAATGCAGATAAATAAAAAGTTGTAGGTGGATATACCATTGGTACTGTGCCCATACTTTGATACAGTACAGAAGAAAAGAGCATTATATGAATGTTTAAATCCTCAAACCATATTTTTCAATTAGAAAAAACACCAAGGAAGGACTAGAATGATTGAAATCTTTAAAAACAATCACGTTATAGAAGAGACATATCTTCTTAAAAGCTATTTGCAGAACTGTATACAACATCTGAAAATACAACACTGCCCAACAGCACCGGATCACAAAGCCACACAACAAACAGCTAAGAAAATGTAACTCACCTTGGCGACCCTGTTGGCAACCTCCCGGCCCACCATTAGCCCCTGGACAAATGTCCGTGCAGCGATGAAGGCCCTGGTGACCTGGGCCTTCAGCTTCCTGGGCACATCTCCAAAGGGCTTCAGCTGATCTGTGTATTTACTGACGCATTCCAGGTAGTCGTCTGTGAAGTGGTACTGGGAGTTGAGTAACTGGAACATGCGCTCCAGCAGCCTGGACCAGAAGTCATTGAGCATCTCCTCCAGGTTGACGTTGCCCCCCGTGTAGTAGCGCTTTAGCTCAGTGAACAGATCCTGGAACACCTCCGAGTTCTGCATGTACAGCTTCCCGTACGTCCGTGTGAACATACTGTTGAGAGACTTCTCAGAATTGTCCAGCAGCTCCAAGAAAAACTCTAGATAGATGGATGATTTGGGGAAATAAGGGAGGGAAGAGAAGACAAACAGCTGGGTCAATGTGCTGATATTTACAGTATCTTATGCCCTGCAATATAAACCAGATAATATGCTTTCAAAGCACAAAAGCCTGGTTTAATGTAATGAAGTGTCTGTTGTTGTACTTTTATGTCTCATTTTATGGCTCTCTTTGCATATATAGAAGCAATATATAGCAGCCAACAATAAGTACTTGATTATGTGAAAAAAGTTGGTCCAAAGCATTAATAATTTAATAGGAGAAGTAATGGGCCACAAGAATCATGAATGATTAATGTAAAGGTTCTGCTTGCATACTGTAACAATATATTCATAATTTCTAGGCATAGACACCATACCTTATCATTCTGAGCACCCACTGTTATTGCCAGATGCATCAGTTCCTCCCGGAAACAATTTATCTGTCCACCAAGGTAGTTGGCCTATGAGCCTATGTTGTGTTTGAAAAATGCTTCAATGGCTTTGTATTGTCAGAAGAGTATGTGAAACGTAACATACCATAATTCACCATGTGACTAGCAGACCTATTATACTTAATTATTGATTCAGCTCACACCTTGTGTAACATCATTAAAAAAGAAGACTTTATAACAAATGTCTTCGAACTTTCCTTAAAGATGAACTGATATTTCAGTTCTGTTGACTGCCAACCTCTGTGGTATGCTATTGAATGTCAAACATCAGACTGTAGAGCTTACCAACATTTTAACCTGACATTTCTCCCCCTTTTTAGAAAAAAAGGCCACTAAAGCCCTTTTCTACAATTCTGCTTGCTTGGCCTACCTCGGTTTGGAATCTTCATCAAACAGGCAACGTGCTTGAGGTGGGGGTTTAACAGATGATGGTCCTGTCTCACAGGCCCGGACTGGCCATCGGGAGGACCGGGAGGTTTCCCGATGGCCTGGCCTGTTAAGTGGCCTGCTGGACTGAGGCATTTTTTTTTTATGTATGTATTGTGAACGCAACGCTGCGCAAATGTGGGTCTGACTCTGCCTCACAGAGGGTGACTGGCTGTTTACATAATGTGGCCTGCCGACATGGCCACTTTCATACAGATCATACTAATGCCCTCGATTGGTCTCTGTGTGTCATTCAAGCTCGGGAGGGTGTGTGTTATGTGTGTGGCACGAGCGAGTGAGATAAAGCACGCGCACCGGTTACGTGTATTGTTGTTGTTAGCATCTGGTGCTAGCTAGCTGCGCTAACGGATATAAGGAGCTTTTTCAACAACAAGGTGGAGGGAGAGTCCTCTCCTGTCAGACTGAGAAACTGATAACCTCAGCTCAGGTGAGGTAAAGGACTCTCAGTGTTTAGATAGTTAACTTAGTCTAAGTTATCCCAGTGGGTCTCAAACGGTTTGGTCACCATTTATGTAAACACATATTTCCATTTGAGGGGGGAGTGATTAGTAAAATATGCATGACTAATAAAAAAAAAAAAACGTTAACTAGGTGAAAAAAGGTAAGATAAACTATTAAAACTTGTTGAGAGCTAAAACTAGTCTTTGCTGCTGCCTCAAAGAGGAGAAGGGAGGAGAGGAGGGAGACAGGAGAGGCTGGTTCAGGAGCACAGACACACTCACAACTATAAATGAACCAAAAACAAATAAATAAACAAGTTTCAATGTTTTTTCATATTGGATATGGTATGTTATTGGTTATGGCCATGTTCTTATGATTTTATGATTATTTAAATGTATACAGTTATGTTTCATATGGGTGTAGTCTCTTTCCCCCTCAAAGTGCACCAGATTGATGCATTTAAGTCCAACATTTAAAAACAAATCTTACCGGGGGAGCATGCCCCCGGACCCCCCTATAGGATTTGAGGTCCACCCCCACTTCAAATATGGTCACATAGGTTCCTAAATAGATTTGCACATTTTTTTAAATAGTAACCCATGTCCATATGTTTATTTTTGGGTAGTAGATTTAGAGGGCTATCACTACGGGCAGCAACGCTGTAAATATTGACAAATAAATCTAGCAAAATGGCACAAAAAACTGGTAGTGGCCTGGCTGGGTGTATAATTCCCGGCCTGACTTATTGTCCCAGTCCGGCCCTGCTGTCTCAAGTCAATGATGGTTAAAAGCAGCGGGCTGATAGATTGTTGTGACTGATGGTCAAGGATTGGCTTTACAGAGGTAAAAAAAAAAACACTTTTAATGTCCAATAAATTCTCCACAATTAAAGTTCCCTGTTAATTTGTTATCTTAAAAGCTTATTTTATGAAGCTGCAAAATCAGGAAATGTTGCGTTTTCATCAGCAGTAACTTAACACGACTGCAGTGTCACTGAATCGAACACACAGGATCCCATGTGTATCAGTGCACATGGGTAAGGGTTGGGAAGAAATATTTCTCCTCCCTTCATTTTACGTTTCCTGCTTGCTAACAAACCATACTCTCCTCCTTGTTGGGTATTCTGTCTACATCTACAAATACATAATCCCGCTGTGATAATATTACTTAACCATAATGAAGATGAATCAGTTCACATGTAGCCTATTTCGTTCATAGTGACGGCGCCTTAAACTGTATATATTGAAGGAATACAAGAATCTGTTTGACAGATTCAAATCATAAAAAATGCAGCAGAATCTCTGATTGCAAGAATGTCAAGATTAACATTTCAGGACTATTTCTTTTCATATTTAATAATTGATTCAGGATGAGTTGAGGTCATTTTAAATAATACATTTACATTTATTTAAATGCAATACAAGTACATTTGAGGTCCAGTGAAGTAAGAAAGGAACACAAATAGAGAAGTAGTTACATTTATTATTAATTTTGTTTGATTTTAACATCCCTGATGTGGTTGATAGATATACAATCATGAAACAATTCCAAATTGTCAACTATACCACACATTTAACAAAACCATATAATGCTGGTAAATGTTGAATATGTAAAAATAAGTATGGATAACTTATACAACAACTCATGACCTCATTCAGTTTACTCGGACTTCACCGTGAGATTCCTTTAATGATATTCATTAATTTTGACATAATGTCTTATTTTTTAACGGGATAAGGCAATGTTGAAATGAACTTCCGACAATTATGTCAAGTGGAATAACAAAACACTGGTACTGCAGCTGGGTTCAAGACTCAAACTGTGAACTCTGCATGATAATCCACTGTTCTGCAGCGTGTGCGAAACCACCAGCTCAAGTGCCAGAGAAACTGAAATTTACATCAGCGTATCCTCTGGCTCTACATGCTAATGTACAACCAGAGGTTTCGTTTTCCCACCACTTCAAACACTGCAGGGAATTACAGTTCATGCTATAACGCTGCCTTTGACCCTTTTTTCAATTTGTTTAGCCAATCCCTTTTTCTATATTAAAATAGCACAGAATGTTTACACCTTAAAATGAATAAGACCAGTCCCTAGTTACTCAGTCTAGTTTCTTTGCAACTGAATGACCTGCCATTACACCCACATTTGGTTAAATATTAAGAGCCTGCAGGGACTTTTTCATTTCCCGAATCAAGGACACGTAAGCCCCTGTGTATTAAGCATTCAATTTAGTATCTGTGTTAGCACTCAAGTAGCTCTCAGGATAATTCACATTACAGAACCAAATAAATACAATATTATTCATACTACTGTTGTAGAGTGTAATAAATCATACATACATTCCTGAACACTAGAATTAAATCTGAGATGTTGTGACTACATCTTAATCATCATATAATTAGCTTTAGAAATTTCAACAATCAAAAGAATGCACTTGTATTCTTCAAATTAAAGTTAAACCTCATTATGTATGTGGAAATGGTTGAATAAAAACACATTTGTACAGTATTTCCTGTATGCATAGTTGATCATTAATGTAAGGAATTAACCAGTTATATAAGACTGGTTGGAGATCAATTGTGCTGGGAACACATTTGTAAACACACTATTTGACTCACAAAAAAAATTAAATGAGGGTCATTATGAAAAGATCAGACACAATTATTCAAAAGTGTGAAGCTAATGTGGTCATAGATCATAATTAGATCATTTAACATAATAATGTTATCCATCCATCCATCCATCTTCTCCCGCTTATCCGTGGTCGGGTCGCGGGGGTAGCAGTTTCAGCAGAGAGCCCCAAACTTTCTTTTCCCTGGCCACATCAACCAGCTCTGACTGGGGGATCCCAAGGCGCTCCCAGGCCAGCGTAGAGATATAATCCCTCCACCTGGTCCTAGGTCTACCCCTTGGTCTCTCTGGTCTCCCTAGGGAGGCGCCCAGGTGGCATCCTAACTAGGTGCCCGAACCACCTCAACTGGCTCCTCGACGCGAAGGAGGAGCGGCTCAACTCCGAGTCCCTCCCGGATGACTGAACTTCTCACCTTATCCCTAAAGGGAGACACCAGCCATCCTGCGGAGAAAACCCATCTCGGCCGGGTTGTATCCACAATCTCGTTCTTTCGGTCATGACCCATCCTTCATGACCATAGGTGAGGGTAGGAACGAAAATGGCCCGGTAGACAGAGAGCTTTGCCTTCTGGCTCAGCTCCCTTTTAGTCACAACGGTGCGGTAAAGCGACTGCAGTACCGCTCCCGCTGCTCCGATTCTCCGGCCCATCTCACGCTCCATTGTTCCCTCACTCGAGAACAAGACCCCGAGATACTTGAACTCCTTCACTTGGGGTAAGGACTCATTCCCTACTTGGAGTGGACAGTCCATCGGTTTCCTGCTGAGAACCATGGCCTCAGATTTGGAGGTGCTGATCCTCATCCCAGCCGCTTCAAACTCGGTTGCGAACCGATCCAGTGAGTGCTGAAGGTTGCAGACTGATGAAGCCATCAGAACCACATCATCTGCAAAAAGCAGTGGTGCAATCCTTAGTCCACCGAACTGCAGACCCCCTCCCCCATGACTACGCCTCGAAATCCGATCCATGTATATTTGAATCCTACTTAAAGGACAGAAACAACTTTGTTTCTATAGGTAAATA